GAATGGATTGTGGGAACTGAAGGCTTGATCATATGTACCTAACAAACATTACACCAAGCTTTTTTTTTTTGTACTAAATTTTCTGTATGGAATGACATGTACATACATTTCTATATAATAAAAAGATTTTCTATAGCAACGAGTTGATTCTTCACCTTTATTAAACTCAGCAGATTTACTCACATAAACAAAACAAAAAGAAGTGATCACTTTGATGAACAATTTGAAAGAAGGGATCCATGTTCAGTTTGCGGATGAATATGAGCAGATATTGGAGCTAGCATTCAACTATGATGACCATTACACAAGTCTTTGACTTGGGTTCTTGCTCTGTTTTCGTTTTCCATTATGTCATCGATTATTAATTCTAGAGAACAAGATATGAACATCGATTATTAGGAGGAGAAGGGCTTGCAGAGAGATGGGAAGAATGGCAGAATCTTGAAGTGACGAGACAAGAAGAGTTTCAGAGGTTGCAGAGGAGATTTGATTCCATTAATAATGGAGATGCCATAGAATTATCTGGTGGAAGATAGAAACAAATACTTGGATTCAAACACACTGTAAAGTAGAAGAAGAAACCACTAGTTTTGGTTTCAAACGGCGTTATGTTCACTTGTGTTTTTATGTTGTAACGTTTTTGATACAATATGTTTGAAACTTTGTGACATAACATAATAATATCGTTTCATTGTGCAAGAAGAGAAATTGTATCAATCAAAATTCTCAGAATCTCTGCTGGGCTATGCTTTATAAACTGGTTATGCATTTTTGGAGGAACCAACATCATCTCTTTCTGCATTTTTAATCACCAAAAAAGTATTTTCCTTTTTGCTTCTTCTCTGCATACCTTATACAAAAAAACAAAATAGACCATCAGGAGAGAATAAATATCTCCATCGTATCATTATATTGATGAAACCAAAAAAAAAAAACCATCGAAATAAAAAAGAAAAGGAAATAAAGCCCATTGAAAGAAAGAAAAGCAATTTCCTTTTTCTATTTGTATTAAAAAAAGGAAACATAACTGCATCCAACGGCTCTATTGAATATATAACAACATTGACCTAATTAACACTTTGCTTCTTCTATTTCTTCCTTGAGAGACAAAAATCATAACTCTCTCTTCTTCTTCTTCTTCTTATGATGATCCAACTAGTGGACATTGAAGAAGTCAAAGCCCGATGATGATGATGATCTCTGCAACATGATCCTTAAGAGTTGTTAGATTGATCGGCGTGGTAACACAAAAGAGGACCAAAAACGAATAACTATCTCATTCGCCGGAGAAACCTGAGGTTGTTCATTCTTCGACCGATCTCCACAGCGGTTAAGAGCTCTCCTTAATCCGATTTCTGTTGTTTGCTTGTTTGGATTTGATCTCCATGAATCTGTCACTACAAAGTCTTACTTTTTTCCTTTATGATATATCCGCAGGATTGCCCTGGCGTGCATAAAGATCTTCGAATCCCGGAAGAGATGCAGATTTCACCGCAGACTACGAGGAATATAGCCAAGAGAGGTTCGCTGTTCGCATTAGTCGTCGTTTGTCTTGAGAATTGGTGCTATGTGAAGAAGTTTTAGAACAACCACGATGACGACTCCTAAGGATTTCACAATCACCAGGTATGTTTTCTTTCTTACCTTTTTTCTTTCTTAATAATAAATCATAATAATTTTGATTTCTTAAAAATAATAATGATTTTACTAAAATTTAAAACAATTTAAACACTCAAACTTTTAAAAAATATTAATAATTTTTAACTAAAACTATATTAATTTCACTATAACTTTTAAAAATTAGTTTAAGTGTTCAATTTTAAAAACGTCGAAAACTAACTGCGCCTAGGCATCCTGTCCTTAGTTCGTCCGTAAGCTTTGGTGTTCGAAATTCGGCAGATTTTCACGTAATATAGATTTAACACTTAAACTCATTTTTAAATATTAATAATGATTTTAGCTAAAATTTATAACAAATTTAACACTTAAACTTTAATAAAAAATAATTAAATTTTTTTAACTAAAACCACGTTAATTTCACTATTACTTTTTAAAATTTAATTTAAGTGTTCAATTTTAAAAACGTCGAAAACTAACCGCGCCTAGGCATCCTGTTCTTAGTTGGTCCGTAAGCTTTGCTGTTCGAAGTTGGCAATGTTTCCACGTAATATAGATTTAACACTTAAACTCATTTTTAAAAATTAATAATGATTTTAACTATAATTTAAAACAAATTTAACACTTAAACTTAAAATTTTTTTTAACTAAAACCATGTTAATTTCACTATTACTTTTTAAAAATTAGTTTAAGTGTTAAATTTTAAAAACGTCGAAAATCAACCGCGCCCAGGCATCTTGTCCTTTGTTGGTCCGTAAGCTTTGGTGTTCGAAATTCAGCAATGTTTTCACGTAATATAGATTTAACACTTAAACTCACTTTAAAAAAATCCAAACGTCGTTTTGGGAACAATCGAAACTTCAAATCAAGATTTATCTCCAAATAAAAAAATAATCAAACCCTAATTCTAACCCTAAACGAAATTCCTAATTCTCTCCTAAATCTTTAATTCCTTTTCCCAAATCTTCAAGTGATTTGGTAAGAAATAACTCATTTGTTTCTAATTAATGGCATTTGGGAAGAAAAATTGAAGATTTTGGAAGAGAATTAGGGATTTCGTTTAGGGTTAAAATTAGGGATTTGATTTTTTGATTTGGGAATAAATCCAGATTTGAAGTTTCGATTAAGTCTAAAATGATGTCGTTTGGGGCACTAACATAATCATTAACGGTGCTAACGGAGGTTAGAGGTTCTATTAACGACTAATAACGACATGTTTGTTTTGGCCTGATCAACGAATTCTCATGTGGCAAACGGTTGGTCAACGTTTTGTTCATGTTTAAAATGACCACATGTAAAGTAGGTATTTAAAATGACCACAATTCGAAAGTTGGACTATTAAACGACATTTTTCGATTATGATCAAAACGACGTAATTTTGGGAAAACTAACAGAGTCGTTAACTCCCGTTAACGGTGTTAGAGGTTCTGTTAACGACTGATAATGTCATGACTGATAACGTCATGACTAATAACGTCATATTTATTTTGGTCTGGTCAACGAATTCACATAGTTTAAACGGTTCCTCAACGTTTTGTTCATGTTTAAAATTGCCACATGTAAAATTAATGGTTAAAATGACCATAATATGAAAATTGGTCTATTAAACGATATTAATGGATTTACATGT